AAGCCTGCAAGTGCATAGCAAGGCCCACCAGCTCCATAGTGGCCCACCAGTGAGAGGCAAGGCTGTTACCCAGTTCACTATCAGGCAAGAATTGGCATATACCAGAGCAGCAGGGCCTGGCAGTTCTGTGGAGAACCACTGGATCAGCTATTGAGCCTGGAGCAAGCCTGTGAGGGTGCAGCCAGGCCCAGCAGCTCTGTAGAGGTCTACTCTAAAGGGTCCAAGATACTGCTTGATCTACTGTGTGACAGGGAGCAGGTGTATACTGGTGCAGTAAGGCCTAGCAGCTCTGTAGAGGCCTGCCATGGGAAGACAGGCCACTGCTAATCACTGTTAGTTAAGAGTGGTATGAATTGTGTCCCCCAAGTTTTATGTATTAGTAACTTGATCCCTACCATGACTGTTAAGAGGGTGGGAAATCCTATGATGGTAATTGAAAGGTGGTGCCTTGAAGAGGTGATTGGATTCTGAGGACCATGCCTAGTATTTGAATAGGTTAATAATGGTGGTCATGGGCATGGTTCTGAGGGCTTTAAAAGGAGAGCATGTGAGAGCCTCTCTCTCTCTGCTCCGCCATTTCTGCCATGTAAGATCCCTGGGTCACTGTTGCTACCACCAAGACCCTCACCAGATGTGTTCCCTGCACTGTGGACTTCTCAGCCTCTGAAACCATAAGCAATAAATTTTATTTTCTTTATAAATCACCCAGTTTCAGGTATTTGTTATAAGCAACAGAAACAGACTAATACACAGAGCACATGTATACCGGTATTGCAGGCCCCTGTGGCTCTTGTGGAGGGCGGGGGGCAGGGGGCGGGTAGGTGGAGCTACCACTGGGCTGGCTGTCAGCTGGCATGGGTACCTGTGGGCTCAGTGGGCCCTTGGCTTGTGCAGGATGGGTGTACACAAATGCGGTGGACTGCTGCTGCTCAGTGGCTTCCCTGCTGAGCAGGTCTGCCTGCTTGCCTATGTGGGGAGAGGTTGCTGCATGGGTTTAGATACCGATGTCTCAGTCTTTCTGTCTGGCCTAGGTTTCAGGCAGCCCAGTGATGGTCCTGCCAGCACCTGTGTGAATGTGGTAGAATATAGATGGGACCTAAGGATGGAGGGAATCAGTCTCACAGGTCTGGGACAAGATGAACTCTAGCCATGGGTTTGGTTGCAAGATAGCGCTGTGCCATAGCCACTTAGGGCAGGAAGGCGTGTTGCTCTCCCTGGGTGTCTATTATGAGGCCGTGAAAATGCACAAACTCTCAGCTACTCTCCAACTGGGTTTGGGGTCTGTGAGGAATGGGGGACTCTCTTGTGGCAGGGATTGCTGGCATTTGTGGAAGCACTGGGAACAGCTGGAGTTTTCCCAGCTTACCTTCTCTCTGCCTGACCCTAGGCTGGTCCCTGCATCAAGGAAGAGGCTGGATGCCTCGCTCTCCTCTCTATGGTGATAGTCGTCTTCCACACTCCACAGGGATTTCATCCCTTCCCTGGTGCTCTGCAGAGAACTTCTTCAGTTGTTCCAGTCAAAATATAGTTGTTTGTTTATTGTTTCAGTCTCTTTTGGGTAGGGGGGTACAAGTGCCAGACAACTCTAGTCAACCAATTCGCTCTGCCCTCTCCCTTCATAAACTCTTTGAAGTACCCTCATATTGTGCATCAATACTTCATTCCTCTTCACTGCTGAGTGATGTTAAAAAATAAAATTTCAACAAATTTAGCTGAAAGATCTAGTTGGCTTTTATTAGCACATCATGAATCAGGCAGCATCTCATGTAAAGATTTAGAAAAGGCAGTCTGATGAGCTGAACAGAGGACGTAGTTTTATAAGCAGAAAAGGGTGGAGGAAATAGAAACAGGGAACAAAAAGCTGTTTGATGTTTTCAAAGCTACTTTCTTTATAGGCTTAAAGCAGAGGGGACTTCCTTTTCATATTGGCTCAGGTAAACTGGCCCCTTCTGATTGGTTGCTGTGAATCTGCTGATTTTCTTTGGAAAACTGCCCTGTTTCCAAGTTCAGTTTGATTACATGGCACTTTCCGGTTTGGTCTGGTCTATTGGGCCTAGTGCAGGAGCTCAGTCCAATTCAATGGCCTTCCATAAATTTCATTTAGCAGAAATATTTCATGACATGGATGTACTACTGTTGACTTCATCATCTTTTGAGAGATATTTGGGTTGTTTCCAGTTTCTGGCTATTGCAAATAAAGCTGCTCTGAGCATTCGTGTACAGGTTTTTGTGTGAATACATGTTTTTATTTCTCTGGGTGTGATAATTGCCGAGGATTGTGATCAATCACTGGTGGCACGGCCAGACAAAGAAGTGCTGTTGGGCATGTTGGGATGCTGTTTACACAATATAAGGAAGCACTTTACTTCGAATCCTCAGGAAATTATCCACATCCTCTGAGCCAGGAAGAGAAACTGCCCAAAGCTCTGTTTCCCTGCCAGGGTGACCGCCAGTTCCCTGTGGTCTGCTGGCTTCCACTCCAAGCCCATTCAAACTCTTCCCCACGCAGCAGGCTAAGTGACCTGATAAAAATGAGGATCAGCTGGTGTCGGACTTTAAAAGCTAAATAATTATGCCAGCTCCATATAGGGGCGTGATTTGGCCCCTGCTGGGCTCTCTGAGTTCATCTCACACATATCTCCCTCTAGCTCACTGGGCTCTGGCTACCCTGGCCTTCTTGCTTCGCCTTAAACATCCTGCCTTTGCCTATGCTGTTCCTCTGCCCCAGAATACTCTTCCGTCTGACCCTCACTTGGTCATCTCAAAATGAAGGTCAAAGCAAAGTCATCAACTCTTCAGAGAAGCGTCCCTTTACTGCCCTAGCTAGGCTGTCACCCCAGGCATTTGTTCTCATTCCATCCTCATTTATTTTCATCATGGCATCTAACATGCTCTAGTGTATTGATTTGGTCTTTGTCTCTTCTCTCTAAAATGTAAGCCTCACGAGGGTGGGAAGCTTTTGTTGTTGTTGTTGTTTTTCTTTTTACAGTACAAACAGCCTTTATTGGTTGCAATGGGAAGTGGAAGAGAGGAGGGGATACAACAGCTGCCTCTCTTGGGATGGCATCTGTAGACCTGGTTGCCGCACTCCAAAAGTGGGTGGGAAGTCTTGTCCGTTATGCTCCCTGAGATATCATCGGTGCCTGGCAGAGTACCTGGAATAGAGTAGGGCTCCATACCTCATTGTTGAATAAAGGGATAAATTTTCCTTTACTAATCACGGCAGCGAGCAAGGCACAGAGAGGTCAAGGTGTGTAAAATTACACAGCATAAATGTGCATTTGTGTGTGCATGCATATGCATGTACAGCTGAGCACATAGTGTGCACACATGTGTGTACATGGGTGTGCATACATGCGAGTGCCTGTGAATGTGTGCACATGTGTCCATGAGTGTATGACAGCTCTACAGGCAGCCCAGCTGAAAGGCTGATTCTCGTTCCTGAGGAAGAGAGTGTCTGAACCCAAGACATCAATTTCCTCCTCTTTGTTCTGATTCTGGGAGATAGGAAGGGGCAAACTCCCCTCCACACTATCCATCTGGGGGAGGGGGATGTCCTTCTACCTTGATGGTCCCAGGAGTCAAGATCAAGGCCAAAATCAGCCCAGTGGGATTTCTGCTTTGAACCACCCAGTGCTATGAACGTCAGTATGACTTAACCTAGTAACTAAATCATCTCTTAACTGTTTCAACTTACTTTTCTGATGGGAGAATGCTTGTATATGGTCAAAATTTAAACAAGTGAAAAAATGAAGATCTGTTTCTAGACAGGGGTTTGGTTGCACAGGCATATGCATGTCAAATCTCCTTCAAATGATGCCTTGAGAAGTGTTTGGTTCGCTGTATCTAAGTTTTACCTAAAAATGATTAAACAAATATTAAACTAGTTAGTGGCATGCATGTGAAAGTGCTTAGAGGAGAAATGAACTGAAGTCTGTAATTTGCTATGAAACACGCCTATCTTAATTGGTTTCTGTTGCTTATAACAGAATACCTGAAACTGCGTAATTTATAAAGAAACAAAAATTATTTCTTTTTAGTTCTAGAGGCTGGGAAGTCTGAGTTTGAGAGGGTCCATCTGGTGAGGGCTTTCTTGCTGGTGGGGATTCTCTGTAGAGTCCCAAGTTGACACAGGACATCACATGGCAAGAGGGCAAGGGCATATTCATGTGCTAGCTCAGATTTTCCTTTCTCTTCTTATAAAGCCACCAGTTTCACTCACATTATAACCCATTAACCCATTAATCCATTAATACATGAATGGATTAAATCATTCACAAGGGCAGAGCCCTCATGACCGAATCACCTTTTAAAGTCCTACCTTTCAAATACCATAGTTGGATTTCCCACCCTCTTAATACTTTTATAGTGGGGATTAAATTTCAACATAAGTTTTGGAGGGGATAAACATTCAAACCAAAGCAACAGCCCCAAAATAAGATGGATTGACAGATGCACAGATGGGTTTATAGATGGAAAGACACATCACAAAGCAGGTATAGCAGAATATTAATGGTAGAAGCCAGGTATATGGGTTTTCACTGGGCAATTCTTTCAATTCATCTGTGTTTTGGAACACTTTCATAGTGAACTGTTAGGATGAAGACCAACAAACATTGCAAATGTGCAGAAGACTTCACAGTTAAATGTAACCTTGCAATTTAGTTCCTTCTACAGAGGCAGTTACTTTCCAGTTTCTTGTATTGTCTCCAGAAAGTTCTATGCTCATATGAACAACTATGTGTACATATCTGTTTAACTTTTTTCACATATGTGGTAGCTTACTATGTATAACATTATGGGTTTTTTTTTGTTGTTGTTGTTTGTTTGTTTTCTTTCGGTAGAATTGTTAAGAAAAATTAAATATGTGCCTGGCACGTAGTAAGTACTCAAAACATGTTAGCTCTTGTCAATTGTTTCATTACTAAGATTTTACTATGAGTGAGTTTCCCAACCCTCACAGGCCAGGATGGCCTCATTACTTTTTCCTTCTCCACCAGCCCTGCCTTCACAGAATCCTACTCATACACCAAAGAAGCTCTCCAAAAAGAAGGGGAAAATGCCAGCTAGACTCCTGCCAGCCTGGAGCACGGTAAGCTGTTTGTCTCCTCCCATTGACCAGTAGCCAGCTCTATTCAGAGAGCGCAGGCACATTCACACCCTTTCTGCCCAGAATAGACCCCATTCTGGCTGGGCCTCCATTGCACCCTCAAAGGACCCATCTCATGATGAATGATCTTTCTTCGGGATGCTCCCTTCTTTCCTGCCTCCTTCTCTTTCCTAATTTCTGTCTCTGATCATATGTCACCTCTTCTGGGAAACCTCCCCTGGTCACTTCCACCCCATCACTCTCTATCCCCTTACCTTACTTCATTTTCTTTAGAGTAATTATTGCTACCTAACAATATACTATTTATTTGTTCATCATCTGTCTGCTCTACTAGAGTAATTCTGTGAGGGCAGGAACCTTGCCTGTTTTTTGCTGATGTATCCCCTGTACCTAGAAGGATATGTGATAAATGGTGGGAACTTTATATACATGTGTTGAATAAATGAATGAATGAGTAAATGAATGAAGTAATGAATTAGTGAATGGTTCCTGCTGAGGTAAGCAGCCATGGCATAGTCCACCTGGAATCCATGCCCCCTTCTTCTGCTACAACTTTGATTTTTCTTTGGGGGACCCCCTGTCTTCCAGCCACTTTGGATTGAGCTGATCCTATCCACACCCCACCTCCAGGCATGCCCCTGACCAATCACAGCATCCATGTCCAGGACTACAGTGATTGGTTCAGGGCTGAGCCTGTTACTCAATCTTGGCCAATCAGAATTGGCCCTGGGACTTTTTCTTCAACTCTGGAATTGTTAAATTGAAGTTTACCTGAAGGGGCCCTGCAGCAAATAAGAAAGGCGAAAGGGAGACATCAGGAGAGGCAGACTTCTGTTGCCAAGGTCAGAATCACCTGGAGGCTCACACAGGCTTCAGCTCAGCAACCTGGAGACAAGAACATTTTTCCTATTAGTGCCAGCAAAAGTCTCAGGGAGGATTCTTTCAAAAAAAAATTTTTGGAAAATAATTTAAAACTCACAGGAAAGTTGCAAGAATAGTACAAAGACTGCCCAGTTTCACTGATTGTTAATATTTTCTCTATTTGCTTTTTCATTTGCATACTCTTTCTCTGTTTTATATATATTTAATGCATTGTTTTCAGAATCATTTGGCATATATTGTGCACATCAGAGAACTCACCCCTAAATACTTAAGTCTATGTCTCCTAAGAATAAGAATATTCTCTCACATAACTGAGGCACCATTTTAATCTTCGTACATTTAACACTGATACAATGCTTTTATCAAATCTGCTGTTGATATTCCAATTTTGTCAATTAGCTAAATATTGTCCTTCTTAGCATTCTTTATCCTCAAGTACAGAATCCTGTCTAGGGCCAGGTATTGCATTTAGCAATCATAAAGTAGTCTTCTTTAATCTGAAAAACCTTCTGTTATGACACTGACATTTTTGAAGACTAGATTCACACATTGTCACATTTTCAGGTTTTTTTTGGCCATTTTTCTGTAAATTAGATTTAGGTTGTGAATTTCGGTCTGGAGTACCACATAAGTGGTGCTGTGTCTTCTCAGGGTCTCACATTTAGATCTGCATGAGGTCTGTATGCTATCATTGGTGATGCTAATTTTGATCCACCCAGTCAAGGTGGTTGTTCAATTTCCCCACTGAATACTTTGTATTTTTTTCCTCACATCTAACTAAGAAGCAATCAGTGAGGAGACACTTTAAGATTAAGAAAAGAACTTAGAAATGGAGAATATTCTGATTGGCCTATTATAGTCACATGCCCACACTGAGCCAATCAACAACTGGAGGATGCAGGACACTTATTGGCCCAGCTCAGGTCACATGTCCATCTCTGAAGGCAGTGGAAGGTCTGCCTCTCCCAAAACGGAATGATGGAAATATTGAATAAGGCAGTAGTTCTCAACTACGAACAATTTGCCCTCCAGGGGGCATTTGTCAATGTCTGGAAACATTTCTGGTTTTCACAACTACAGAGAGACTACTGGTGTCTAGCAGATGGAGGCTGGGGATGCTGTTCAACACAGTACAATGCACATGGCAGCCCCCTATCCCCATGACAGACAATGAATCAGCCTTAAATGTCAGTAGAGCCAAGGCTGAGAAAACCTGGAAGAGAGGAATGATGGTGCTCCAAAGGAAGAGGCACAGAGTGGAGAACCAACCCTTCTGTCGCCTCCGATGCCTTGCAGCAAAGAATGCCAGCCCGATGAAGCTGAGAACCCAAACTCTAGAGTCTGACTGCCTGGTTCAAATCCTGCCTCAGCCACTAACAGCTGTGTCATCTTGGGTTATTTCCTTAACTTCTCTGTGCCACAATTTCCTGATCTGTAAAATGGGGCTGGTAGCAGTACTTTCATTATGGGGTTATTATGAGAATTGAGTGCACATTTGTACCATTCTTAGAATATGCCTATTATATAAGTGTTTGTAATATAAATCATCAGAAATTTCCATCCCTTGGAGAAGGTTACATACACCCTTTTAATTCTGATCCTCTGCCCACCCATACCCCATTTCTGATCACAATGAGTGGAGCAACTTACTGAAGCTTTCTTGCCTCAGTTTTTTCTTCTTGTAAAATGGGAAAATAACAACAGAAGCTAACCTGTGAGGATTACATGAGATTATAGCATGTCAGTCATGTAGAAGAGGAGTAGGAGGATACTTCAGAAAGCTTGTGGGAAAGTAGAATGAAAAGATAATACAAATCATTCCATAAGCTTTGTGAAGTACGTTCATACTCAATAACCATTAGGTAGGAACAGTAGTCTTGGCAGAAATTGCTATAGCTTACCAAGTGCCAGCACTGTGGTATATACACAGCACGAGAAGTGTTTCAGATTTTGGACTTTTTTTTCACATATTGGAATATTTGCAGAATACATACTGTTCGAGCATCCTTAATCCAGAAGTTGGAAATTCAAAATGCTACAATGAGCATTTCCTTTGGGCGTCATTGTGTCAGTGCTAAAAAACTTTCAGATTTCGGAGCATTTCAAATTTTGGATTTTTAGCTTAGGAATGCTCAACCTGTACTGGAAAAGTAGTATTTATGTTTTTACAAAAGTAGATAGTTTGAAGAAACTGGCTGAGGCAGTAGTGGTAAGTAGGAGCTAATGTGTTTCCAGCACTCATTAAGTGACAAATATTGTTACAGACTCCTTCCTTGGATTATCCCCTAATAGGCAGTACTGTTAATTATTCTTCCCATTTTACACATGTGGAAACAGAGTCACAGGAAGTCACTTGCCTGAGGATCCTCAGCTCTTTGTTGTTAAGGTGGAATTCAAACTCAGACAGGCTGGACCTGAGTCCACTTATTTCACCCCCACCCTGTGGGAAAGCCGGCTCTGACCATGGTGCTAATGGTCTCTTCATCTTTTCTGTTTTCTCTCCCTTTTAAGTTATTACATTCACTTTGGCTTTTTCTTGCCTATGAATGACTCCTGCTCTGCTTTGCCTTGCAAACTCTTCCTCATCCTTTGAGACTCAGCTCAAATATCCCCACCTCTTTCAAGCCTTTTCTAGAGTTTCTGAAAATACAAAAATGGTAATTTCCTCTGTGCTCTCTTAACTCAACATGTTCTGCCTCCTCTAGTACCTGCTGTGTCACATTGTGTTGTCTCTGGGACTATGTCCATCTCTCGGCTCCCTGCTGTAGACTGGGAGTCCCTGAAGGACACAAGTTTGGCAGCTGTCATATGAGATTCCGAAACACAGCTGCTTAAATAGAATGAAGTTGATTTTTCTCTCATGTGATAGTCTGTGTGTGAACATCCTGGGGCTAGGTATTGGTAGCCCCATGGGCATGGTCACTCAGGATCCTTCGATCTTGCTGCTCTGCCCTACTGTGGCTGAGGATGGCTCATCCCAAGTCCAGTCCACACTGTGACCCAAAAGGAAGGATATGCTTTCCTCCTTCTAAAGGCAAGGAAATATCACTTCTGCTCACACCTTATTGGCTAGAACACAGTCATATGACTATATCTAGCTGCAAGGGGTGCTGGGAACTGTAGTCTTTGGCTGGGCAGCCATGTGCTCACCTATAGTTTCTATTATTATCGCAAAAGAGAATGGGTGTTTTGTCCACCACAGCCCTGGCTTCTTAGATTAGTATATCCCCAACTCCAGGCCATAATGAATACATGAATAAATAAACCAATTTTTGAAACCCCCATTGTTTCCATGATCCTGCCTATCAACCAGGAAAAAAAAGTCCTGTGGCACTGATAAAACATGAGAAGAATTTATTTGAGCCAATATGTGTATCCAGGGCCTGGGAGAACACCACTAAGTTGCCTTAAGATGTGCTTTCCGAAGGGCCAGCAGAACTTTAGTATTTTTACAATCACAAAAATGTGAAGAATAAAGGGTAGGAAAGGAAACAGTCCCTTTATCAGCACATCGGTTTTTCTATTGATTACATAGGTTGGTGACTAGTTTTTAGTTGCATCCTAGGTAAAGATGAATAAGTAAGGATCACAGGATACATTTTCTTTTTTTTCTTTTTTCTTTTTTTTTTAAAAGATGACCGGTAAGGGGATCTTAACCCTCGACTTGGTGTTGTCAGCACCACGCTCAGCCAGTGAGCGAACCGGCCATCCCTATATGGGATCCGAACCCGTGGCCTTGGTGTTATCAGCACCGCACTCTACCGAGTGAGCCACAGGCCGGCCCACAGGATACATTTTCAATATTCCTAAATTAATATGAGTTCTTTGGGTGCTGGTAAATCTGTTGTCAGTTAAAAGTAGTCTTGCGGTAACAGTTCCAGAGGGTGTGGACATGGCTGTTGCCCATTTCAAATTCCCCCAGGACTTTTAGGAATTTAGTTGACCTCAATCAGAGCAGATTTCTGGTTTATCACCCTATTTTATTTTTTATTTTATTTTATTTTATTTTATCAATATACAATGTAGTTACCTTGTTTTAGAAAAAATACGTAGAATAATAATAAACATTTCTTGAGTCCTGACCATGTGCCAGATACTGAGCTGATTTCTTTACCTATATTGATCCACTTAATCCTCACAATAACCCCAAGAGGTAGATACTATTATTATCCTTATTTCAGATATAAGAGATGGAAACACAGACAGCTCATGTCACTTGCCCATGGTCACACACGTTGTAAGTGGCCAAGCAAGGATTCAAACCCAAGCAGTCTGGCTCCCCAAGAAGTATTCTAATCCATCACTTGTATCTGCCTCATAGATATGCAAACTGAGAGATTCCCAGATGGTCATAAACTGTTGTGCAAGAACCTCTTCCAGGTAGTAATGTTTCCAAAGTACCACAGCATCCATTCTTTCACCTCTCAAATATCACATGAACATTTGGAATATGCATGCAGCAGTTATCTGTAGCCAAGACAATGCTATGTAACAAAAAAGCACAAAACTTCAGGGGCATATAGCAATAAGGAGTCAGGTAAGTGGTTCTGCTGATCTGGTTGGGCTTACTCCTATGACAATCTGGTTGTCAACTCATCTAAGCTGGCTTCTCTTGGGGCCTGGGGAACTTATCATAGCTCTACTTATCTTTCAGGCTAAGCTAGGTGTATTTTTTCTCATAGCAGCAGTAGAAGCACCAGAGAGAGAACAGTGCCAATTATGCAAACATTTTTCAAGCTTCTGCTTCTATCACATTTGACCAACTTCCCACTGGCCAAAGAAGTCCCATAGTCAAGCTCATATTCAGAATGGGAGGGCACTGAGTGGTGACATGGCAAAGGCTGTGGACACAGGGCAGGGTGAAGAAGTAGCCCTATTTTTGCAATGTGCTGCAATGTAGAATGCTGAACACATTATAAACTTCCATTGTCTTTTCACCTCCTCCTCTGGGCTGGGTGAGAGACCAGTCGCTGAGTGATCTGGAATGGGGGTTTGGTGTTACAGGAACCAGTGAAATTCAGGGATGTAGCCATGTACTTTACCCAGAAGGAGTGGCAGCTATTGGAGCCTACTCAGAAGAACCTGTACAAGGATGTGATGCTGGAGAACTATAGGAACCTGGCTTCCCTGGGTAAGGACAACCTCCTCACAGTTCTGTCTGGGCTCATGAGAGCCTCTTGGCCTCTTTATTCTGAAAGGCTATGAATTTTACAGAAGGCTTGGATGAGCTATGTCCTGTGCTGGGCTCAGCTACTGAGGCTTTGATGGTGTTGGCTTCATCCTAAGACTAACTGCTCGAGGTCTCAATATAGCTGCCAGCTGCTCCAGAGGCTCATGCTTTCTAATTCACTTGGAGCAGGAATGGTGGACGTGTTGGTGCTGGGTGGTCCCCACCCATCCCCCCATCCCCCCTGAAAATCCTGACCTTCACTGTGATTGGATCTGGCTTCAGCCACACGACCACAACTAAATCAATCACGGTGGACAGTGAGACCAGGAATGGGCTCATTGGCTGATATGCTCTATAAGGGAGGCTCTGCTTTCTGGAAACTACATGGATCCCATCAATAGAGATTTGAGCTGGTAGCACTGGGAGATGTGGGCAGTACAAGGCTGGGGTTTTCCTGCTGGAGGTCCTTTGTATCATTCTGTTGGTCTTCTTTCTGTGCAAACATTTGGTTTGAAGAAGGATTCTGGGAGGCATGCAACACTTCTTTCCTTCTGTGGAGCAGGGCATCAGTTTTCCAAGCCAAAGTTGATCCTCAGGTTGGAGCAAGGAGGTGAGCCTTGTGTCAAGGAGAGAGCCACCTATGAAGGCCCCCGGCGAGGTAACGAGGGAATCGATGGGTACAACATCTCCATGGGTGAGTAGGAGGTGACATCATTGATGCCTTAATGGGAAACCCTCCCCGAATGTCCATCATGCTCAGGGATTTGGTGAGAAGAAGAGATAAGGCTGCAGGACATGATTCACTTTAGAAATACTTTTTCATTCTTCCAGCCTGCTAGATTCTTATACCTCCCTGTTCTCATTCCCACACTTCTTCCTTCTGCCACACACTCTGTATTGGGTTCTTATAATTGAAAGCAACAGAAAACCTAAATGTGGGCTCTTCCTTCATTGTTTTTCAGTTATTACTTCAGCCAGAATCTTTTTACTTTCCTCCTTATGTGTATGTATGAGTGCCTTGATGGTTGAAAAGATATTTACAGCATTTCATGGTGTAGGCTTGTCTGGCATGTGACCTTAATCTTTTTGAGTATTATTATGACTTCACAACTCTTTGTTGAGAGACACAATAGCACATTTCTAAGTAGCATGATTATCACCCACCACATTCTGAACCTCAAGAATATAGAATACATATAGATCTTTTGTTAATACAATACCTGCATTTAATAAGAATCCCAGATAGTAACAAGTGGTATTCACTAAAAAATAACAATAATCCCCTTTCTCACTCCAACTTCTTCTTCCCCAGTTTCAATTTTGTTGCTATTTATAACCCATCCAGCTTGCGTAATATCTTAAAGTAGTCTGTACTTTCTAAACCAGCTTCCAGTGATATCATTACACATCCACAAGAATGACTTAAATGAGAAACATAAGCATTGGCAAGGATGTTCTCTTAGTAAGTGAAGGTTGCTAGAACAAAGACTGGGTGGCTTATAAACAACAAATTTATTTCTCACATTTATGGAGACTGGAAGTCTGAGTTCAGGGTGCCAGCATGGTTGGGTTCTGCAGAGGACTCTCTTGACAGGTTGCAGAATGTTGACTTTTCATTGTGTCCTCATGTAGTGGAAAGAGAACAAGAGAGCTCTTGGGTCACTTCTTATAAGGGCAGTAATCCCATTCATAAGGATTCCATTCTCATGACCTCATCACCTCCCAAGGGTTCAACCTCTTAATACGTTCACGTTGGGTATTAGGTTTTTAAAATATGAATTTTGGGAAGACACAAACATTCCATCAATAACAGGTGTGGAGCAACTGGAACTCTCATTGGCTGCTGGTGGAAGTGTAAATTGGTAGAGTGGTTTAGGAGAAAAAGCTGTTAGGCATTATCCACTAGAATTGCACATATTCATATTCAATATCACAAAATTCCACTCCTGGGTATATATCCAATAGAAATGCATATGTATATTCACCAAAAGATATGTACAAGAATGTTCATAGCAGCTCTGTTCCAAACAACCCCAAACTGGGGGACTACCAAAAGGCTATCAGCAATAAAATAATTAAGTATATTATGTATATTTATGCAATGAAATTCTGCAAACACAAATGAATGACACAAAACAATGTGAAACAATATGGATGAATCTTCCAAACATAACATCGAATACAGGGAGCCAGATACAAAAGGGTACATACTATAGGGTTACATTTATATGATGTACAGGAACAGGCAAAGCTAATCTATGTTGTTAGAAGTCAGAATTGTGATTTTCCTAACGGGGAGGATAAAGTTTAGAAAGGAGTGGAGTAGGAACAGGCATTAGTGAGGAGTAGGAACAGGCATTTCTGGGGTTCCATTTCTTGGTCTTAACCTCTGTGCTGTGAACATGAATGTGTTCCCTCTGAGAATGCTAGTCAAGGGCACAGTTTATATTTGTGCCCTTTTTTGTGCTTATGTTATACTCCAATAAAACATTTTAACCAAAAATAAAAACAATGACATATTATAAATGTTCATCTGTAAGAAAATTAAAAAAAAAAAAGAGTGACATAAAACAGATATGTTTACATTCTAAACCTCTTTCAGACAAGAAGACGAGGCATAAACTGAAGACAAAACTTCTGAAACGAGGTCGTTCTGAGACACAATGGCAGGGAAAGGTGAAGAAAATTGCCCAAAAGGATGGCCCCCAGGGCACTAGGGCAGAAAGGGCTGTGGAAAGTGAGGACAGACCAGTTCGTGGCAAGTGGAAATCCGGCCCAAATTTGGCTGCAGGATCATGCAAAAAAATCCTCCCTGGCAAGAAAGAGCATGAATCTGTGGCCTTGAGGAGACTTTTGAGTCAAACATCAATGACAGCAACACCAAAGAGCACCCCTCAAGGAAAGAAGACTCTGAAGAAAGACGTTCATGGAAAAACACAGGATGCTGTGAGCTTCACAAAGAGCAGGAGCATCCGAAAGGGGAAGAATCACTTTAAATGTAAGGAATGTGGGAAAACCTTCAACCAGACCCTTCACCTCGTGGAACATGAGCGAATTCACACAGGAGAGAAACCCCACAAGTGTGATATGTGTGGGAAGTCCTTCAGGCACAGCTCATACTTCTTTACACACTATCGAATTCACACGGGAGAGAGACCCTATAAGTGTAAGGATTGTGGGAAAGCCTTCAACAGCAGCTCCACCCTCAGCAGTCACTACAGGATCCACACAGGGGAGACACCCTTCAAATGTGATGAGTGTGGAAAAACCTTCAAGCAGAGCACGAAGCTCACTCGCCACCGCAGGGTGCACACAGGGGAGAAGCCCTACAAGTGCGACAAGTGTGAGAAATGCTTCAGTCGCAGCTCATCCCTGACAGAGCACAAGAGGATTCACACTGGAGAGAAGCCATATCACTGTCAGGTGTGTGGGAAAACATTCAGGGTCAACTCGCATCTTTCAGAACATCAGCGCCTCCATCAAGAGGAAAAGTCTTATCAGTGTGAAGAGTGCGGGAGGCACTTCCGAAATGGCTCCCACCTGTCAGAACACAAGCAGATTCATGTGCCAGGAGCCCGAGAGGACTGCCCAGAATGTGGGAAAGCCTTCCCCAGTAAGGCAGCCCTCCTCAAGCATCAGAAAAGCCATGGGGAAGATTCTATGTATCACTGTCAGGGATGCGGAAAGGCCTTCCGGTGTAAGTCAAGCATTCAAAGGCATCGTAGGTTGCATGCTGGGGAGAAGCCTTTTGTGTGCACTGAGTGTGGGAAAGCTTTCACTGACAGGACTACCCTGAATAATCACCACAAAATTCACACTGGAGAAAGGCCAGATCCATGCATCCAGTGTGGGAGAGCATTTAGACACCTGGCTTCCCTAATTCTCCACCAGAAAATACATGCTAGAAAGGGACAGTATACTCCCGGTGTGTGAAAAAGCCTTTAGCAAAAACTCACTCCTTCACAGCCAACAGAGAAGTCAAAATGAGGGAAATTAGTAAGTGTATGTTTCCTTCATTTCTCATCAGAAGTTTTCTGTTTGACCAGTAGTTCCAAATAGAGGGGTGATTTTTCCCTGCCTGGAACATTTGTTCAATATCTGGAGACTTTATTGGTTGTCCCAACTGGGAGGTGCCACTGGCAACTGGTATCTATGGAAAGAGGCCAAAGATGCTGAAAAAATCCTACACTGCACTGAGCAGCCCACCCGCCAGCCCCCAGCCCTCAGAACAGAGAATGATCTGGCCCCAAATGTCAATGGTGATGCCTTTGCAAAACGGTGCTATAGGCAAAGCTCTATGAGTAATTGAATTTGAGAAAGAATTCAAGTAGGGTTTTCTGTGCTGTCCAATACAGTAGCCACTCACTAGGTGGCTATTTAAATGAATTTAAATGAATCAACATGAAATAAAATTTAAAATGCAACCCCTTGATTACACCAGCCAAATTTCAATCACTCAGTGGCCAGATGTGGCCTGTGGCTACCGTATGGGACATCAGGGATGGAGAACATTTCCGGCATTGTAGGAAGTTCTATTCAGCCTTGGTTCAGATCTCAGTTATCAGAATTATCACATGTGGTGGCCTAGAAAAAGTTAGGAAATGAGGTACAGCCTTGCATGACTGAATTTGTATTTTTCTTACAGCCAAATGTAGCGTTTTATAAATGGAATGATGCTCTGGACACTTTTAGGCCTCAGGATTGGCCAGTACCTTACCCAAAGGACACCTCCCTCATGCCTGGGGTAGAATAACCCATGGATTACTGATAACATCACTAACAAATGCCAACATTTGTTGAGCACTTTCTACCTGTCATGCATGGTACTGAGCCCTTTACATAGATTATCTTAGTTAATTCTCAACAGAGTCCTATGAAATAAGCATTATGATGATCCCCAAGTTTTAGGTTAGAAAACAGAGGGTTTTGAGAGCTTTTGCTTTAAAAAAAAAATTATTTCCATTTTTTCACGAAAAGCAAGGCTCTATTGCTATTTTTATTTTGCATTCTTTCAAATTGACATGATTCAAATGTTCACAAAATATGTCTTTAAAAAATAAAAAAGTGTATGCGTTTGCATTTCTGTCTAGACCACCCTTGAGGGAAGAGAGCAGCTCAGATTTACCTATAGCAGAAGCTGACGCAGAGGAGACTTTAAACAAAGTGTGGGCAAACTGGGCCGATCTAGTACACAGCCTATTGCTGTAAATAAGGTTTTGTTGGCACACAGCTATAGCCATTTGTTTATGAATCGTCTGTGGCTGTTGTGGTACATATAAAGGTAACACTGAGTTGTTGGGACAAATACCAGATGTTGCATAAAGGCAAAAATATTTGCTGTGTGACCCTTGACAGAAAACATCGGCCAGCCCCCTCTCTGAATGACTGATGGACTGGAATGAATTAGGATGGAAAGGTTAGAAAAAGAAGAGATAAACTCTAAGGCAGAGGCTCTCAAATTTTTGTGCCTATGACTCCCAGTATGAGGGTACTTCAAAAAGTTCATGGAAAGATTCACATTATCTTTTAATTCTGTTTTCCACATGCTTTTTGAAATACCCTTGTGTAGAAGATATTCAGTATTGCGATCCAGTACACACTGCATATGTGTGCTTTATGTGTGCATATGAACATGTGTTTGTGCATACTTGATGGACAAGTTTAATGAACACTACTTACCTTGATTAAGTGCAGGCATTGTTCCTCTCTCAATTAAAAATGCTTGTTGCAACCTTCTAAATCAATTTTATTAACCATCATAGGGTGCCTCCCATGGCTTTAAAAGCACCGTCAGGTAGCAGGGCAACATATGATACCATCAGAATCTGCCAGTGTCTGCTTTTCCAGACTCTTGGAGTTAGCGAGAGTCTAAGACCCTGGTTATTGGAGGTCTCAGCAGAAGACAGAAGGTGGAAAGCCCCAGTGGCTTTGCACTTACTCTGGAAGCAGCCTGGAGAATCAAGAGTGTGGGTCTAGTGATTATCCCAGGCTCTCTGGATTCTTTTTACTCTCTTCAGAACATTCTTTCCCACCTCCTTCTCAGCCCTGGAAGGGCTGCAGGGTCCACAGATATCTTAGGGTGAGAGTGGAGAGACCATGGATGAGGATATCCAAGGACTCTGGTAGAATTTTCAGTGGGAGTCATCTCTGGCTATGTGGCTGCATCCTTCTGGTAATGATCTCAGGAGCAGGGCTAGGTGGTTTCAGGGGGACTCCATGTGGCAGGTTCTTTTTATTGTGGTCATTTTGGTCTGTGAAACATTTGTGTATGTGAAGAAATTGGCAGATGGAGGGGCTTCCTCTAGTATAAGGACAGAATGTGACTGTATATATTCACCAGGATCCTTTTGGTTGCAAATAACAATAACCCAACTCACACTAGCTGAAGTGAAACCAAAGCAACAAAAGGAAATTATGACATGCACATCTGGAAAGACTCTTTGCTTGAAGGACCTTTGACAGAACCAAAGACCTCAGAAATTGAAATTGAGAACTTGATTCAGACAAGACTTGTTCACATCACTCACTTCTGGTGCTGTGTGTATATCTTTGCCTTGTCTTTTTTTAGACAGACAGGAGCATTCTCATGATTGGGAAAACATGTCCACAAGTGCCTTGGCTTCCCAACCTTAGGGGAAAAAGAGAATTTCTGTCATGGATTCCAAATGAATTCCGAAGAAGGATTCCAATGAGGTTGCTGTGATTTAGGGGTAAAGGTTTGGGGAACCTATTTATCTGTTTTCCCCTCACTTTGAGTGGTTGCAATGAGGATTTATCATTTTTGTAGTTTTTTGAAGACTCCTTTAACCAGGAAGAATAAACAATTACTTTGGGTAATTGGAGCTGGGAGAAATTAATTCTTTGGTGATCACATAGAAGGCTTATGTGGTCATCAAAGTAACAAATAATGGTGGTCAGAGTCAGTTGGTGATAGCAGAGTGGAAAGAAGTTGATGACTTCAGGATAAATATTTAAAAGATTAAGCCCACAGACCTGCTGTGTGATAGGATGTGGGAGACCAGGAAGAGGCAGATGTCCTGGGTGTCTCCTGGATTCTGGCTTGAACCAGTGGAGGTGTCAGGTTCCAAGATCAGGATGACTCAGGAAGGACAGAAATGGGCCATAAGGGAGTCAAGAGTTCATTTAGTTTTGACTTTTGGTTACAGCCAATTGAACAGTGGCAAGAGCTGAGAGTGTGCATTAAATTGACAAATGTTTAATCAACTGTTGTGTCTGTCTGTTTTTGTCAAATTGTTTCAATATACATAGCATTCCTTTTATCCTCATTCCCAGGAGTATGGGCCTGCCCAGTCAGCTCTTCTCTGCAGGCAAATGTTGGAACTTCATGGCAATAAAATCATTCATTCATGTAATCCAAATTCTTTTACTGATAACATAAACAAAGTCAAAATATGAATGGAAAAGTAAGAAAAAGTATTTTCAAAACACATTAGAGACAAAAAAATCAATATCCTTAATATGTAAAGAGCTTTTCGAAATAAATAAGAAAAGACCAATGACACAATTTGGCAAGATATATGAATAGACCATACATACTAAAGAAATGCAACTGTTTAACCATGTTTTTACTCAGCAGTTGGGAAAGATTTAAAAATTTGTTAAAATACTAAGTTGGCCACTCCAAATGCACTCTTACATATTTCTAGAGTCTAAATTGATTCTATATTTGTGGAGGGCAGTTAGCAATAGCTATACAAAATTTTAAATGTACATACCCTTGACGTGACAATTCTAGTTCTAAATATTGGGCTGATACGGTTTCACTTGTGTGCAATGACACATGGACAAGGATGGTCATTCTGGTATTTTTATAGTGGGAAAAGACATTTAGAAACACCCTAAATGTCCATCCACAGGAGACTCCCATTAAAAAGGATGAGGAAGTTCTGTATGGACTGTATAGCAAGAGTTCTAAAACATATCAAGGTTTCTGAATAAAGAAAGAAAGGAAACAAACCCAAAAGAATAGGTATAGTAGGGTACCATTTCTACCCAAAAGAATAGGTATAGTAGGGTACCATTTCTGTAAAAAACCTGGAAGGGAGAGAAGCAGATGGAAATTGCACACACACACACACACACACACACCCCATATAATTAAACGAATGAATCAATCAATTGATAACTAAAAAATCTGCTCCGACCAGGTAAGCTAAATTATAGTGCCTTGTGAGATCTGGGGTAAGTCAGTAATCACATCCACCTGTCCTTGAAAATGTTATCATAAGACCATTTTACTTAGAAGCAGCCACAATGATGCCAAAAAGCCAAAATAATCTAGAATAGTTCTTGTTACCTTTACCCTAGGCCTCTGCATGTAAGATGTAACCTAGGAATAATCCCAAATCTTTATGTCATGTATAAGAGATAGAAAGCCTGATGAAGTAAATAGGTCGGGCTGTCTTTCTCTCTCTCTCCTTTGACCTTTCCTCCTTCTTGTGATTATAAAATGTTAAGCTCTCCTGGCCCTCTTTGGAACACATTTTAAGACCCTGATCTATTTGTCTCCACGGCTGGAATCATAATATTGGCTCAATAAATCCTTGCTGTATGTAAAGGTCTCAGTTTCTTTTTAGGTCAACACAATTGTATTAGTCCGTTTGTGTTGCTTATAACAGAATATATGGAACTGGGTGATTTATAAAGAAAATGAAAGATTACTTACAATTTCTGAGGCTGGGAAGTCCAAAGTCCATCTGGTGGTGGCAACAGTGACTCAGGGGTCTCACATTGCAAGATGGTGGAAGCGGAGAGAGCAGAGAGAGAGCAAGACAGACAGACTCTCCTTTTTAAAAGCCCTCAGAACCATGCCCTTGACGACCATTTTTAATCCATTCACTACTGCACGGTACTACAATCCAATCTCTTTAAGGCTCCACCTTTCAATTATCATGATAGGATTTCCCACCCTCTTAACAGTCACAGTAGGGGCTAAGTTTCTAATACATAAAACTTGGGGGACACAATTCAAGCTGCAGGGAGTTTGGGAGGAACATAATTTAATCCACTATGTTCCGCCCCTGGCCCCCTCAAACTCATGTCCTTTTCACATGCAAATGGATTCATTTCATCCCCAAAGTCTTCATTTGTTTCAACTCAAGAGTCCAAAGTTCAAAGTCCCATCTGTGAAATCAATACATGTTATTTACTTCCAAGATACAATAGTGGGATAAATGGGGTACATATTCCCATTCCAAAAGGGAGAAATAGGGATAGCCTGAAAGAAAGGGATAACAGGTCCTAAACAAGTCCAAAATCCAGGGCAGGCATCAAATCTTACTGCTGGTGAGTCATGTACCTTGACTCCATGTTCAACGTCCTCTGCACGCTGGTGCAGGGGTTGGGTCCCCAAGTCCTCAGGCAGCTCCACTCCTATGGCTTTCCTGGTCTCAGGTGATGCTGTAGCTCTTGCAAGCTGGCACTGCATGCTGGTAGGACCACAGGCCTGGGGTCTCTGTGGCTTTCCCACTCTCACGGCTCCACCAGGCATGGTGCTAATGGGGTTTCTCTGCTGCAACTCCAGCCCCACATTTCCACTTGGCATTGCTCTAGTGAAGGTTATCTGTGGTGACTCCACTCCTGTGAGAGATCTCTTCCTGGGTCCTCAGGCTTTTCTATACATCTTTTGAAACTGTAATGGAAGCTCCCAAGCCTCCACAGCTCTGGCATTCTGCGAGCCTGCAGACTTAACACCACTTGGACGCTGCCAAGTCTTCCTGCTTGTGTTTTCCAAAGCTGCAGGTCCAGCCACACCTGGGGCCAATTTAGCCACAGCTGGAGCAGCAAAGTAGCTGGGGTGCTGGTGCAGGGAGCAGCTTTCCAAGGTGGTCCTGAGCAGTGAGCCTGTGGAGGGTTCCTCAGGCCTGTTCCCCAAGACCATTTTATCTGCCTAGCTCTATGGGCCTGAAATGGAAGGATTGGACTCAGAGGCTTCTGCAATGCCTTCAAGGCCCTTTTCCCCTTCTTTTGATTATCCCCTTTCTTTGTGCTAATCTTCTTAGATAATGTTCGCTGGGCTGCACCATTGCATGCTCTCTGCTTCTCTACCACATGACCAGGCTGCAAATTTTCTAAATTTTTACACTCTGCTTCCCTTTTAAATTCTGGCTTTATGTCATGCCTTTGCTGCCATAACTCAGAATAGGCTGTTGCAAGTAGCCATGCAGCTTCCTTAATGCTTTGCTGCTTAGAAATTTCTTCCTCCAAACATTCTGGTTCGCACCTCCTAAGTTCCAACTTCCACGAAGTCCTAGGGCATGAACAGAATGCAGCCAATTTCCTTGCCAATTCATAGCAAGGATGATCTTTGCCCCAGTTTCCAATAAATTCCTTCTCATTTCTATCTGGGACCTCCTTAGAATGGTCTGTACAGTCCATATTTCTATCAGTGTTCTGCTCGCCACCACGTAACCAGTCTCTAAGACATTCCAAACTTTCCCTTGTCTTTTTATGTTCTTCTGAGTCCTCCAAACTCCTCCAACCTTTCCTCAAAACCCAGTTCCAAAGCCATTTCCACATTTTCCAGTATGTCTTATAAGCAACACCCCACTGCTGGTACCAATTTCTGTATTAGACCATTTGTGTTGCTTACAGCAGAATACATAGAACTGGGTGATTTATAAAGAAAATGAAATTTATTTCTTACAGTTTCTGAGGCCGGGAAGTCCAAAGTCCATCTGGTGGTGGTGACAGTGATTGAGGGATCTCACATTGCAAGATGGTGGAAGCAGAGAGAGCAGAGAGAGAAAGACTTTCCTCTTCTTTTAAAGCCCTTAGAACCACACCCTTGACCACCATTTTTATTTATTTATTTATTTATTTATTTATTTTTATTTTGTCAATATACAATGTGGTTAGTTATTGTGTCC